TGCAATTTGTTTTTTCTAAAAAAAAGCTTTGCTCCAGGCCATTATATAAATAGCAAGCAATGGTTCCCAGTCATGGTGGTCATTTTACATACACTTCTCCAAAGTAATGTTCCTCCCATACCACCAACACCCCCCCACCACCCCAAAAGGCAGATATGACAGAAAGTAACAACACTTTATAGCATCAACAAATTCTTCCCATGCCCAGCCCAGCCCATAATGATTTATGCTGCAAATTGTTTCCAGTGACAATATGTTTGAAGAGTTGTCCAGATCGACTGTTAAGGAATACAAGTGTCCCCCACACTAATGATCCATCAGCTTCCATTCCGAGTCTCTCAGGAAGCTGAGATACAGGTTTTGTGCAAACAGTAATCGAGTGGGGGTGTGTGTTTACTCTAGCACACGGCACATTCCTGACCGAGCCGAGCAGTGTTCAGGGGTCACAGGGTCAGCTTTCTGTTTTCGAGCAGCGAGCAGGCTTTCCGAGCTCCTGGTGCCAACAATCAGGAGGAAATACTCACAAGTCTGGAATTTTCAGGAAATAGCACACAAAACAAAACCAGAGCTTCCTTCTAGGTCTCCCATTCCGCTGAGCTGTTGCATCCGGGGGTGTTGGGGGCAGGGTGCAGATCTTACTGACCAGGCTGGCTAGGTGTATGTGTAAACCCACTGTTCATCAACTGTAAATAAATAGGTGGATAATAAATACTTGGCATGGGAAGAGTGCATAGAAAATATTAAATGCTGTCGAAAAATCCGGAGAAGAATAATGACATGCCGAAAGTGAGAGATGGTGAATCTATCATGTCCGGCGGGCTTGGTTAAAACAATATGTAACAGCGCAAAAGCTAATTTAATGGGATGATCAATAGTCAAAGAGCAACTATAATTCATGGAACAAAGGAATGTTTCCCTGGAGCAGGAATAACACGAGGCAGAAGGGGAGGGTGATTAATAACCCCCTCCACACAAACACTGGTACACCATGGTAATTGAATCTAAAGGGTAAAAAGTTGCTGACATTATTGTGACATACAGCGATGATTAGTGGTGTATGTTAAGATAAAGGGCCACTTCCTTGATAAAGGCTTGTAACAGATGGCGATGGCAGGAAACTTGATCTCAGGAGCAATTGTCCTGAGCGCAATTTGGATGATGTGATAATGGAAGCAATTTAAAGAGGTGGAACATAGGTTAGCAAAATGTCCTCAAACATGTTCTTCACAAAGACCAAGTGGATGGGGCTTCTTTAACTGTTTTTTTTCTTATTTCAACCAATGCTTATTCTCCAAAGATTCTGTGCTAATCTCAGGCGGTAACGCTGTGTTGTCCGCATGGTGCCATGTAGTGGAGGGACGCTGGGTTGGGCAGGCTCCCCTCTCCTGATCGCTATTCATTCATGGCCTGCTAGAAAGGGCACGTGTGGGCGTCAGGTGATCAAAGGATTGGGATTCACCTTGAGACCATGCACTGGCACCATCCCATCAGCCACCAACACTCACTCACATAGGAAGAGGGGACCTTTGGGTGAGGTATCACAAGACCTGATATAACAACCCGTGTGAGTCAGTATCTGCAGGAGAGAATGGGAAAGAAAACTTTGAATCAAACTGAATAAAACTCGGGGACAAAGTGATGTACACCTAACTTTGCCTTTCTGACCTGCTCTGCTTTATTCTAGGAATTCTAACTTGCAAACTAGTTCCAAGTTTTACAAGACCTGTGTTGAATTGTGTGTGTGTGTGTGTGTGTAAGTTACATTTCCTCCTCCCCAATCTGATTTGACTTTTTCGATCACAAATAGGCTTGCTATAGAGTTGAAGTCACAATATTGCAATGAGGAGGGGATTAAAATAACCATTCCGTGTCCCTTTCTCGTGCCCCTCCCCTCCTCAAAAAATCATCTTCTTTGATTGCACCCAAGAATAATTTGCTGGAATGGCATGTGTGGCGGGGTGGGAGGGGGGTGGTGGGGGCGGTGGTCTGTAAAACTTATAAACTACAATGGAACCAAATACTTAAATGTGCATTTAGCACATAAAATAAGGGTAGAAGGCAGATAAGCTGAGGAGACTGCTGGCGGGGTGGTGTGGGGGCGGGGGAGATGCTTCTGTATCAGTTTGTCAAGACTTGCTGGACATTGCCTGTCTTGCACAGCCTCCTTTCCTCTCATGTTTGTACTTGCATTTCAACATGTAATTCTTGGGAGTGGCCCCAAAATAATGCAGCTTACAAGCTCCAAAAGTTGCTTCTATTGCTACCCTACACATCAAGAATAGATAGCAACTAAACATTCCAGATCCTCAGTTGGAAGACAACACTTCGCATTGCCATGTTAGACCCACTGCCATGTGAGATCCCAGCAGGACTTTGCTTGATTCGTGCTGAAGGCAAACTCCTAATCATGGTTAATTCTATAAAAACATGCTGCAGCAGGGACATGTATTGCCAGTAGTGTTAGCAGATGTGCATTCCCTTCTTTTCACGTAATTGTTTTTAAATCACTTCATGTTGTGTTCTTTTTTTTTCCCCTTTGCCGCCAATCACGCAAAGGGCAGACTTGCCTCCGAGGCCGTTTGTTAGCTAGCCTGCGGTGAGTTTCTGGGCACTTCAATATTACGTGATTAATCCAAATTGGCCCAGAGTGGTTTGTGTGAGCTATAGCCTGACGTGTTGCATATTAGTTCAAAAGAATAACCGTCACGAGCCAGAGAAGCAGCTGAATCACTGTTTCTTGCCTCCAGCCCCCTCCCCTGGGCCAAGCAGGGAAAAATTAACTAGAGTTCTTACTCCTGATGCTCCAAAATTGCTTTTGGTCTTAAGCTTTTATTCTGCAGGTCTTTTTAAGAACTATGGAAAATAATAATAATACTCGCATTTGATATAGTGCCTTATCATGTGATTGAGACTTCTCAAAGTCCATCACAGAATATACTGTAAAGTTAATTGACTGTGTATTTTGTTGGTGAATCGCGGCAGCCAATTGCGCACAACAGTGTCTCACAATATCTTGTGGACTGAGTGACCAAATTTATTTCTTTTTGAAAATCGGCTTCAAAATGAATACTGAATTCAAGAATTTTCCAAAACTCTGCAAAGCCTAAAATATTGAGGATTTAAAATTAAAACCATAATTAACAGTAACAATTATTATAATTACAGTTTAACATAACATAGCATGTAAGAGCAGGAGTAGGCCATTCGGCCCTTCGAGCCTGCCCCGCCATTCAATCATGGCTGATCTTCTAATCTAACTCCAGCTAATAACCTGACCCTGCCTTATCCCCATATCCCTTAATCTCTTTTGCAATAAGAATTATATCTTTCTCAGTCTTGAATATGTTCAAGGACTGAGCATCAACAGCCCTTTGGGGTAGCGAGTTCCATACATTCTCCACCCTTTGAGTGAAGAAGTTCTTCCTCAACTCAGTGCAAAAGAGCTGGCCTCTGATTTTAAGGTTGTGACCCCTGGTTTTAGTTTCTCCAACCAGGGGAAACAATCTCCCACTATCTACTCTATCATGCCCTTTGATGATCTTATAGGTTTCTATAAAATCCCCTCTAATTCTTCTGTATTCTAGAGAATATAGGCCCAAATTGGTCAGCCTATCCTCATAACTCATCCCCTTCATCCCTAGTACTAACCTAGTAAATCTACGCTGCAACCCCTCCAAGGCAAGTACATCCTTCCTTAAATGAGGAGACCAAACCGCACACAGTATTCCAGGTGTGGTCTCACAGTTGCAGGGCCCTATACAGCTGCAGCAAGACTTCCCTACTCTTATACTCTAATCCTTTCATAATGAATGCTAACATACCGATCGCCATCCTAATTGCTTACTGCCCCTGCAGACTAACTTTCTGTGATTGGTGTACAAGGACACCCAAGTCCCTGTGGTCGCTAACACATTCTAATCTCTCCCCTTCTAAAAAATAACCCGCTCTACTGTTTTTGCTACCCAGGTGGATGACTTCGCACTTCCCTGCATTATACTTCATCTGCCACCTACCTGCCCAATCACCTAACCTATTTATGTCGTGCTGCATTTTTTTATTATTATAATACCAATTTAAGATGGTTAGCAAAGGGCAATTAAGGTTTTTTCTCACATGGAGTATTAAAATATGGAATATCTTGCTGGAGATTGAAGCAGAATCCATATTAGCTTTTAACAGTGAACTAAATAGATAGAAAAAGAAAACTTTGCAAGGATACACGGAAAAGGCAGATAAATGGGACTGAATGGATGGATTGCTCTTTTAAAGAGCCACTCCAGACAGAATGGGCTGAATGGCCTTTCTCTGTGCTATACATTTCTATCTTGCTTATATTTAGTATAGTCCTTTATCACGTCAAAACATCTAAAAGCACTTCACAAGTTCACTATGATAGTGTGAGTTCTTTGTTCTTTATATGCACTAATTCTGGTCTCACTGGATATTCCAAGATCAGTGGTAACATAACGTTGGTTATATGTGATCTTGAGTATGTTGCAGCCCTGTTATAATGTGGTAATTGGGGAGTCCTTGAAATGAAACCACATTATAAACAGAGCGTGTTCCACCCCAGCCACTCCCTTTCACTGACAGGGTCACTCCCGACGTCATAGAGTCCTGCTCACCCTGAGCTTGAGGCCGGCCAGACAGAAAGAGAACTCAGTAATAATTATCCTTAGAATAATTGTTGCATTTGATATGTAATAATCCTTGCATTTGATATAGCATATCATTGAGACTGTGTAAAGCATTTCACAGGATTTACTGTAAAGTCTAGTGGCTGTGTATTCTTGTAGGCAAACAGGTACAGACACGTATACAGCGTGTTATGACATTGTATCTGAAGCTGTAGATTTATGACTAGGCTGCAATGTACTCATTTTTCCACTTTTATTTGTGAATTGGATATAAAGGCATCGTCATCAGTTGTCCTGACAGTCTCTGATGTGACCAGCCTGAGTAACAATTCATGTTTCTTTTTGTATTTTGTTTCTCTCCAGAGACGAAGCCCACTTGTATATTCAATGGTGTGGAATATTATGACGGGAACATGTTCCGGATGGACGCTTGCCGCTTCTGCCGGTGTCAGGGAGGAGTCTCTATCTGTTTTTCAGCGCAGTGCGGGGAGTTGCACTGCGACCGGTACTATGTGCCAGAAGGAGAATGCTGCCCAGTGTGTGAAGGTAATAATCCTACCTCCTTACACACTGCCCTGGACTGGATCAGGCTCTCCAGGAGATGGGCAGACAACTTCCTCTGCTTATTCAATGTGCCTTGAAGAGTAATGATAGACGAGTTGGTCCATCTTGAATACCTGTGATTAATCTCCCAGTATGTCAATATGTTCAAATGGATGCTTGTTAAACCATACGGTGGCAAAATCTCTTTAACAGACAAAATCTTCTCTTTATCCAATTGCTCTGATAAAAGAAACCATCCTTAAGGGCATGAGGTTAGCACTGCTCTGATAGCTCAGTGGGCAACATCAGAAAGTGATCAGTCAGTGAGCCTTAAGTCAGGGAGACTTCAACATCCACCCCCAGTCTGGGCACAGTTCCATATTAGGATAGGATGGCTGTTGTGGTGGGAGGGGAGGGGAGTAATACTCTGGTCTGAGTGACCTCCAAGTAGGGAGGGGAGAGACACCAGCCAAGATTCCTACTGAATGATTAACCTGAGGCTCTTGCTCCAGCTATGGCTTCTTGGTTAAGTTGCTTGGGGAGAGGCCGTCAGGTGTGGAATAAGAGCCATTGCTTTCATGAAAGGAGAATATTGGCAACAAATCAAAATGGTCTACACTTCTTCCTGTTTCTACTTTGCTGTGTTCATTCTTAGAATATTTGTAGGAAACAATTTTGGCATTTTTTTGGGAGTGAAACATTGTGAGTGATCCAATGGTATGTGATGTGGAATGTCAGCCAGATGATATTCTTTGCGACTAAATCTGGTGTGATGTTTTCTGTGTTTGAAACAGGGAACGGTTTAGCCTTCATAGTTGATGGCTGTTTAAAGATGATCCTCTCTCTCTCTCTCTCATTTTCTCTCTCTCTCTCTCTCAATGGTTTATTATGCGCTGTGTGTTCCACAAAGTGAATTTGCTGATATGGCCGAAACTCTTATTCTGCTTATTTGTTAACTGCTACAAATTTGTCTCTATCCATTTATAAATTAATTTACTGTGGTTAAATAAATATTTACAACATGTATTATAAGCAACATGGACAAATGTGTAAAACATACTGAACAATAGAATAGTGATCAGCCTACATAAACAGATTTGTGATAAGTGTCTCTCGTCTCTTGCATTGCCTCTGTTGTTTGCATTTAATGGGATTGAAAAAGTATATACAGCCAGGACAATAATTTAGGATGCATCAAGACTGCAGACAAGAGAACATAAGTGGACAATTTCAGGATAGACACCAGGAAGTTTTTCTTTACCCAGAGAGTAATTAATAAGTGGATCAGGTTGCCAGGAAGATGGTTGAGACCAGGACACTGGACTTGTTTGAAAGGCAACTTGATGTTGTGATGGGTGGGTATTCTGGAGAGACGAAGATGAGATCAGATGAGGCCTTCTTCATCTGACCCGATCTTGTCATCTTGTGACCTATCTTTTGTGCATCACTTCTTCCTTAAATGTGTGTCTCGCAATAGTCAGTTATTGTGCATGTTTTAATTCTATTGTGTTTTGTGACAGACCCGATATACCCAGTGCATAATCCTGCCGGCTGTTATGCCAATGGGCAGATCCGCGCCCACGGTGACCGGTGGCGTGAAGACGATTGCACCTTCTGTCAGTGCATTAATGGGGAACCCCACTGTGTGGCCACAGCGTGTGGGCAGAGCTGCCTGAACCCTGTGAAGATTCCTGGTGAATGCTGCCCCGTCTGCGAAGGTAAGAAAGCCTTTGATAATAAATTGTGTCGAAATTCATCACTTATACATATTCATGGAGCACAAAGGCCCTTCAGAGACTGTCCTTCATACAAGTGCAGTGTTTGGCATCCTTGGGGGCAGCTTCCTTTTGTGAGGCACAGAAAATTGACATAATGGATGCACTAATAGCTAATGATGCTGATGCATGTTAATGTAGCAGGAAAGCAAAACCACAATTAAAATCAGCCTGACTTCTCAACTAGAGTTAATGGTAATGGACATTGTTCCAGAAAATGAGGGCATTTTATCGGCCTTCTCAGCTATATGTCAGGCTTTAAGTTTCTCCTGCTTAGCATCAGTCGCACCTCAGAGATGCATCAGACATTTCATTGGTGGTGATAAAGAAATCTGTCAGCTTCTCAAAATTCTCTGGTGCTTAAAGCTTTTCTGATGCCTTAGCGAGTTTACTCAATCAGTAATTGAGCCTATAGATCAGGTCCCAGTTCCAGTCTTGATCGCCGGTCAATGCTGAATTAGCTGATCTCAGCCAAGGATTGCTACAGAACGGCTCAGTATTACCATTTAAGGAGGGAGAAATTAGCCAAGGTTCCTTCTCCTGTTAGCTATGCGGTGACCTCCTACTGAAGGTGTGTGTCATTGTGTATGGAGACAACATGGGGAGAACATTGGATTACACTTTGATACTGACCCCTTCTCTTACTTAATCTCACCCCCAAGTCGAGGCTCACAATAGGAAGAATGATTATTTCATCAAGACACTGAAGGACACCCAGCCCCCTTGGGATGGTGTCCTATTGGCAGGAAAGAAAGAAAAAAAGAAGGAGCCCTCTGTGGCGGTCTTGGTAGTCCGGTTTCCTGAGCCAAGCAGGCGCTGCTGATTGGCTCATTGGCAGGACTTGAAAGGGCAGACCAGTCACTGGGGGAAGAGATTCTTCCCACTCAACTTCTATTAACCCTTCAAGCCAAAGCCCCAACTAGTAGGGTGATCCTAGCTGTACAAGCAGCATGAAGCTTACCAGACAGTATTCTCAATGGCTAACTGGTGCTTTCAAGGTTTTAGCTGGTTAAACTCTAGCAGTACCCCAACGCACACTCTGGAGTCCCCAAGCCTTGGCTCTTGTCAACCTGCACCTAATACTTTCCGGAATTAGGTAAGCAGGGAGAGAGTGCGCATTCCTTTCCAATGCACAGGAATTTTCATGTGTAGGTGGAATGTATGGAACTCTCACTTTGGTTTGGATACTTTTAAGCATGGTGATAGGTTTCCACATATGTCAGACACCCAGCTGGCCAAAACAAAAGGAAGAAAAATACCTTTAGTCATTTTTTCTTAAAAAAAGAAACTCCAGGCACTTAAGAGGAGGAAATACTTACCAAGTGTTTCAAAATTCCCGTTAGATAAGGTTGCTGGAAAGTTCGCAGTCCCTTTGGGCTTCTCCACGCGCAGGGCTGCTGAAGCCAGACAGCCGCTGATTCAGGAAATGTAGGTCATTCCCTTGCTTCAGATGGGAAATCAGGAATCTGAAGTATGTGAACGGAAAATGAGGAGTCATTCCTGGAATGATGCGTGTGATTTCACTGGGATCTTGTAAAAACATTTACATTTTTAAATTGCTCTCTGACAGGCGGTGAGTTTCAGGCAGCACGTAATGAAAGAAACAGTAACATACAGAGAGCAGAATCATTTTCTGTAACATATACTGTGGTGTATGCCTTCAACAGGTAATCAGGTATATTGAATGGTTTATTCACCCTAAAATATGCAGTGTGAGGCACATTCCTACTTAGTATACTGTTCAATATCTTCCCCTATATTGGATGTATACACTCTGTTTGCCTACAATATATATAGTACATGGTATATTTCTGTACAGTACATAGTGTACAGTACATTCTCGTATAATGCAAAACATATATGAGCCTATGAAAGAGATTTGTGTCTTGCAGTGACTTAAGATCCTATTTTTACTTATCTCTTGTGGTGGCATGAAGTATCATTTTTAGGCTCTTGGGTGCAACTGCAATGAAACCCAACCTGCCCCCACCGCCCCCGCAGCCCACTGAGCCCACTGTTCCAGCTGCAGTCAAATAACTCAGCACTCCACAAATTGAAGCTGTGACATTCAACAACTGTATAGCGTATAGCTTAGTGCTACACAACGAAGTAACGGGTTTCCCCACTGTGCTGTCTGATAAGCAAGTTCCGCCAGTGAACGCTAGAGTAAGGATTAAACCAAGGATGTGTATGACTCAGTTTTACTTTTTGTGCCCTTACCAAGTCAGTCAACATTGCGAGGGGCAGCAGATATCGGTGTAGACAAATATCTATTTGAATTGGTTCTCAAGTAGCTTGCAAGTTAAATCCAGCATAATCTGCTCGTGGCTGTAATAGATTTCAACACTTTACATATTAATTAAAGAATTGGCTTAAAAGCTTATCTCAGTGTGGGGATTGCAACATACAGAAAAAGACTGGCATTAGAGCAGATTGAAATTGCATCTAATGGATTTCAAATGCAGGCAAATGCATTCTTTATAGGATGGTGCTCTGTGAATTATATTCCTTGACATTGCCTGGGCCATATAGAATATAGAAAGTTCACCCTTCCCCTGTCCAGGTAGAGCTCTGCCTCTGATCCCTTGCAGAACACTTTCATGTTCAACCTCAGCTCAGAGACTCAAATGGTACTTTTGTGTGCGTGTGTGTACGTATGTGCGCGCTCGCACTAGTTTGTGTGCGCTCGCACTAGTTTGTATGTATGTGTGTGTGTATGTGTGCGTTTGTGAGTATATGTGAATATGGCCAAAGAAACACTGTGCATATATGGGATTGGTAGAGGGATTAAGCAGCTGCATGTAACCCAGACCATAGCTAGAAAAAAATAAGGTAGAAAATAGGGGAAAGAATGGTAAAATAATGAAAGGACAGAGAGTGAATAGAGAAGAGAAAATTGAAAAAAAGGTAATTTTTTAAAAAATATTTTTTTCAATTGTGAGAGTTATTACATTAAACTCAGAGGGTTTGGTTTAATAAGACTGTAATGAAGGCATGCTTCATGTTTGACTAACTTTATTACTGTAGAATTAGTATTTTATCACAGTGCACGAACTGAAAATGTGCAACACTGACCGGTGTCAGTCCCAGAGAGACAGCAGCCTCTGAGGAGCTGTTAGCTATCCCAGGATTATAGGAATGCTGGTACAAAGAGAACTAAAAATATAAACATGTGGGAGAAGGAAGGACGAGCTGAAGGTTTGCACACCGTAGATGATAACCAGGCCAGTACCTCCTTTTGATCATTCCTCTGCAGTAATTATGCTGAGCACTTTCTTTTAAGTTCCTATCTCCAATCTGATGAAATAGTGTTGGGGATGGGGTCAGCTCAGTGAGTTAGTGCACCATCATTTCACAGTTGCAGGCCTGAGTGTGAATCCAACCCGGTCTGACTGGGTGAAAGTTTCTTTCCGTTCTGATGGCTGCTTTAAAGCTCAAATGAATCCAGTGTCTGTACTATCTGCTGCAAGGATACATGATGGCTCACTATTATTTCTTCCCCCACCCTCCCGGGCTTTCCTTTAAACAGAGTCCAGAGCTTAGCTATGTTAATATATGTCAAGGAGACAATCGCATGCCTATTCATTTGAAGGACTGTTGAATTTATCCTCTCATGAAAGTTTCTCACTACTCTTGGCTGAGATGAAAGTATCATTCATCTGGTTACAGAAGTGAAGAACCATCATAGAATAATGCGCTTCCCTCCGAGGATAAGTTAGGAGGCGTCTGCGACTGTTGGAAACTCTCCCACTCATTGTCCCTCAGTGCCTGCACTTTCCCATAGCCACTTAAGAAGACAGCTTTGTTTGTACTGGGATTTCTTTTAAAAAAATGAAGTGTTAGTGATTTCTGACAGCTTCCTAATACATTGGTTGATTAATTTATGGTCCAGAGGCATTTTAAGAAGAAAGCTTCAGTAGTTAACATTTTGGTGTCAAAAAAAAGTCAGCAGTCTCTCAACCTAACTACAAATTGGAGTGTTCAAAACTGCTCCCCTTCCTCCTCTACCCCCTACACCCCACACCCATCCTGCAGATCAGTGGGATAATCCTTTGTGTGGGGCTCCTCTCTGTACAGTGTCTCTGTGTGCTGTAAACTGAGGGTGACCCTGGTTGCAGACTGACTACTTGAAGGTGCCTGTAAATGTCCCAAAACTACTAGGAAAGGACGAAGGACATTTGCAGTGGAATTCAAAGCATTAAAAGCCTAATAACCTGTTTTGAATCTGTACGTGATGTCTCTGTCTGGAAATGATTACCTCAAATCTTATCTGAAAAGTACAGGGTATAACAGAAATCATATATATCAAAACCTTATCTTAAGGGCATGTTCATTTTCATTGATACCATGTATGAAATAAGGTTCCAAGAGGCAAAATGCTCACTCGTAAGTGAGCGAGTGAGCGCTCCCAAGTTGCTGGCCCCAGTGAAGGGTGCTATATAATTGCAAGTTGTTGTTATTATTGTTGATGATATATTTGCTTGATCATTTTGTATCGAGTTCAGTGTGAAACAGCCTTTCTTTCACCGTGTGGACTGTAATGTCATATTCCAGGGTCAGTTTCAGGCAGGGGCCAAAGGCAGACTTTGTGAAGATAAAATGTGGAGGTTGGGGGACAGTCCCGTTAACAACGGAACACTGGAGACTTCTGTTGTGATGCTAGAAAGGTCAGTGGCACGTGCTGAACCCTTGTGGTCGGTTACCTGCTCGTCCCAGACTGCAGGAATGAAAAGCTTTGCATCAGTGACTCATCTATTAACATACACCTACAAATGCACTGTCATGACACTCCACAGCAATGCTAGGAATATTAAGTATCAAGACTTGTTCTGTGTTGGTTATACCATCATTTCCATCATGAATCTGCAGTAATAATTTGGTCGCTCAATCCACGACTGTTTGTGAAACACTGCTGTGTGCAATTGGCTGACATGTTTCGCTCA